CAGAAAAAAAACTCACAACATATTCATTTTGGAGAACACCACAAAGAATTAGTGGAATGATGGGGCTATTTCACACAATTTAATCGAAGAGAGAATTACAATATTGTTTTATTACAAATTTGCTATTTTGTTGCCCACTAACGTAGAAATTAAGAATATTTTGCAGCTGAGTTTGAAATAATTCCAAAATATTTTAATTATTCAAAAACAATACACACGCATATACAAACTGCCCAACGTACCAAAATGACTTGAGAATAATATTGTTTAAGCTTAAAATCATAAGCCTTGAGCTTGTGACAATATTGAGAATTTATTGAGAAATGCTCGTTTAATAAACATAGAATAACCAAAACTGAACCCTTATTTATAAGCTTATTATTGTAATTGTAGAATAAGATTGAGAAAATAATAGCATGTTAAGATTTTGTTATAATAATTTAAAATACCCATTTTTGCAATTCTTATACATTTTATTGGATTATTAATTTCCATGTTCTTCCCTGTTGCAATTCCTTTTGTTACCGTAGGCTTGATCCTTTTCTATTTGGGTTTTTGAACTTCTGCATCTCCTTGTCAAATATTTCACTTCAATCGTATGCTGGAAAAATACCTACTGAATTCCTGAATTTTGTTGATGCGTTCAGTCTATAAGAAAATTGAAGTTATGTAAATCACAGACCCCTTAATCACATATTCTTACCATAAGGATTTGGTGATTTTTTTTCCTTATTTGCCTTACATTGCCATTTATGAACAAGTAAGCAAAATTTTTCAGTTTTTGGTCCATTTCGACCCCTAAATATTGTGCGATCATCTCCAAAAGAAATAGGGTTCTATTCTGACCTTATCCCAACCTCCATTCTGAATTTCGTGAAGATCGGGCCATAATTGCGACCTGTAGAGAGATTACAAATTAACTTGGACAGACGGACAGACGGACGGACGGACATACATAGCTAGATCGACTCAGCTCGGCGAGATAGGAAGATCCATATATACTTTCCTATGTGGGAAATCAATATTTCGAGGTGTTACATAATTTTTGGCCCAATCAAACTTATAATACCCCCAACACATAGTGTTGTAGGGTATAAAAACGAACAAAACAAATGTTAAATGACGACTTATTTGAGAAATATGTTTTTTTTAATAAATGTTTATGGCCAACTATTAATAATAATATTGTTCTCAAGCTGTATTATAGTTTTATTCGTGTTGGTATGGTATGTTGGATGTGTTTCGTTTTGGCAGAATAACAAGGCACCACAACAAATGGTAAATTTTTATATATTTTGTTTGACTTACATTTTTTGTATCGGTTTGACGAATTAAACAAAAAATGCGGAGAAAGTGAAATTTTGAAGATTTTTTTTAAATTTAAATTTGACTTGATGATATGATCACTGCGTAATTGGATAAAACGGTTGTATGAAACATCCATACCATAGTGCAGGAAGTGAGTAATTTTGTACGATACGTCGTGTATTGGGTAGGCCTAACCATGCCATGTTCTACTAAATGGGTTTAAGAATATCCGGTAATAGCAACTGTTGCTTTACAATAATTTAAAACAACAGCCGTATGGAGATTTGTTTGATAAAAAGTAATAGAAGCGACACCTGGAAAATCAAATATGAATTTAAACAAAGACAAACAAATCATTAAAAATGCCCTTGCACCAAATGTTTTAAAATATCCGGTCTTGCTTCCGATAACTACGGCCATGCAAAACGCATCCCTTTAAGTAAGGACAAAAAATCTCTCTTCGTCGCTCTTAATTTCTTAAAATTTTATTGGCAATTCGTTTTTGGAAAAATTCTTGTATAATTTTCAAAAATAAGCCAGCACTTGCTTACCTTGTAATAATCATACCATGATTGGAAGTATTCTTTTACACCATAGGCCTACCTAAGCCTGACGCAGGTTTTCGATGTTTTCCACCACAAAAATTGAATGCATCTATTTATATAACAAAAATACGTGGAACGTACACATTTTTAAAGTTAAAAATGTAAAGTTTGACAGAACTTATTTCTGTTTATTGATATGTTGAAAATAAAGAAGAATGTTAGATAAAATATAAATATTTATAACGGGAAATGGCTAAATTTTGAAGACCTTAATATTTTTGGACAATTTTCTTGCTCCTCGGACCTCGCCGTACCAAATGTGTTACCACAGTGAGGAAGGTGAGTATTTGTGCACGGTATTAGGTAGGCCTGTCACTGATAAATAAATGAGACTTAAATGCCAAAATATACAAAAATAAAAAACAACATTTCTCGAATTTTGTGTTCTGTCCCAGAATTGAAAAAGTGTAAGCATTTTTACTATGATAACCGATTTTTCATTTATGATATCGACAACAAATTGCAAAACTAGTAGATTCTTGCAGGTTCTGGAATAGAACATAGTTTTGTGATTTCTTGAAAGAAATACGTTTCGTAGAGGTGTAAAACGTGTTCCAAGCGTTTTAATGTTGAATACGTATTACAATTTGGCTAACTGTGATGACATTTCAAGGTTTTTGTACCACTCGGCAACATAGAAGCTAGTGACTGGATTCCAATCCAAGTGAAATCTCTTACCATTTGAGTATAAAATGTTTCCGTTTTCGTTCGAGTTGGCGATTGTGGTCATCGTTCGTCAGAAGCCTAAAAGCACTTTTAATTTCGGCAATTAGCGACCAAAATAAAGTAGTCGCTAAGTCCTACCAGAACAGCAGCGCTGTGAACTTGAATTTAGACTTTTCAGTCATAATTTTGCACTAATGCCACTACAGGCCATAAATTAGATCTTAATATTATTTTTTATGCGCTTATTTGTGTAGCAATAAAGCCCCCCATAATAACAAAATTAAATGTGAACTTAGAAGTATTATTTGTTTGGAAAATACCAAAGACTGCTTGATGTGAGGACCCTTTCCGCCCACCAGATGGAGGATCAAATTAAAAACTAATCGAGAAAATCACAGTTTTTGTGTGAAAATAAAAGTGTCTTCAATTTGCCGTTGCTATCAAACTCATCACTATTAGCTTCCATGCTCTTCTTGTCATACCCAAAAAGGGAGGAACGACAACATGTAAAACACTGATTGATATCAGGGTGTTAGTGTTCATCGAGATGGCAACGCTTTGGCGTACAGTCTGGCCGACACACATGGATGGATTTGAAACTAATCGAAAACATGACGGCCGAACAAAGAGAACAATTCATTAGTCCCGCTTATCAGTGGAGCCCAAGACTACTTCAAATCCAATTTGTAATCACTAGTTGTCATTTGTATATATTAATAGACCCTTCACTGTGCTTATCTGTAGGTACTCTCTCGATCATGACGACTTCACACGACCGAAGCAGTGACACCTTTGTGAACGGATTGTCAATTTAAGGACCGGTCTGACTTATTTCTCAGATAAGAATGTACTTACAACGGCCATACATAGTTATAAATTTATATTGTTTTCTCATGAATGCTTGGGAGGAACAAATAAAATTTTTGAGTAAGGTTCGGGCGAAACGGAGATGCAATTTTTATAATTGTTTGCTCTGAATTGTTATCATACCGTTTTCTGCATTGCATTCGATTCGATTCTCAACGAGTTTGTAGATAAGTTTATTTGTCCGTGATAGGTTATCGGCCGAAGTGGTATCTCAGCGGCTGGATTGGGTAACAGGAGTGTTTTACTCTTGTGGACATTAGTTCGACAAACTCGTTGGTGGAACGGAATATAACTAACGTACAATGGCTTGTTAAAGGTCAGTGGTGTAGTAGCAGCGTGTAAATCGCATATAGAGATGGTAGAATTAGTTGTGTACGATAACGCAATAATTCGTGAAAATTTGTACAAATGGATGGATGTTCTTCGAGGGAAAGTTTGTTTGTAAAATTAAATTAGTTTTGCCAAGACTTGCAAGAAAACGTGAGAGCTGAGACAATATTACCACGATCGTTGAGCCATATATTGTAAAAGCAAGGCTCTTTAGTTAGTCGCACAAAATAATTTCCATCATTTGCTTGCACTAAACATATTTTTTATTAAAGACAAATCGAGTCTATCGAACCTCCCAAAATTATCATTCAGTCGAAATCCTTCCATACGACAGTTTCGTTCCAAGCAGATCTTCAATCTCCAAGTCGAATAGAAAAAAACGAACAGTTGTATAAAGAATTTCATATATTTTTGTTTTTTTTTTTTTTTTATTAAATTTTAACTAAAAGTAATTAAATGTTGTTGTAATTTTTAATTTTATGCTAACCATGTATAATTAATTAATTTGTTGTTTTTAGTACAATATTAACAATGTCTGTTGATTTATAGATGTCTGTTGTCGCGTTTTAACTTTTTACACATATTCACTCTGAAAAAGTTGTAAAATCTGTTAATTTAATGGAACAGTTGCGTTCACTTCAATTCTCGGAGTGGAGTTTTTTTTTTTTTTTAATAAAAAAATTGTTTTGTTTTTATTAGTTATTGAATAATCATGGCATTTATTTATGGGGCTTATAATTTATTTTTTTTGTGTGGTTGTTTTTTTTTTTCTTTTCTTTTAATAAGCTTAGGATTGTAATAAAAAATGTACATGTACGTATGTATATATATATTTATGCGTGAGTCCTTTTATTTTCCAAATATAATTAAAAATATTACTAATTACCTTAAGGATAGCTTAGACTTAGACTATAATTTTACATAATTTTTACAAAATTTTAGGATGGTAATAACATTGGTTTAGACATTACAACAGGAATGTGTCAGAATTAAAAAATGTATAAAAATTGGTTAAAAAATAATAAAAAAAAAGGTAAAAAAGGGTTTGAAGATTCATGTTTGGTTTTGGTTTTGTTTTTGTTCTATCTGTTTGTTTTACAATGCGAAGACCGATTTTGATAGATACAAACAGAAAAAATTGCACTTAACTCTATAAGACTACACAAAATTATCGCTACTATGGGTTTTCTAGGTATGAAGGTATAAAGTTGGGTTTCTCTCCTATTGTTTTTTTGTTTTTTTTTTTGTTTTTTGATTCTTGTGATTGTTTCATAGTTTCTGTATGAAAAAAAAAATGAATGTTAAAATTATTCAACTCATGGCACGGCTATAGATTTGTCTTTTTTTCGTTTTTTTTATGAGGATGTACGATTTGTTTTGTGGAATATGTGTTTTTAGACGTCTTTTTACAAAACTTGTAACTTTGTTTTCGCTTAAATCTACATCACTTTTGATTGCTGCATTTCAAAAAGTCTGGGCGAGAGACTCTTTGAAATCTTTTGATGAAAAAATATATTCGTTATCATTAACAATTATAAAAAAAACAAGAAACGAAAAAACGTATTGGAAAATGTTAAAACTATTTACAGTGATTGGTTTTATCGTGCGTTTGTGTATCTTTGAGATTTTCGTGGTAAACTTTTTCAAAAAGCGCTGACCGACGCGGGTAACCATTGAAACGACCACGGGTGCACATCCGTATCTCGCAATACTACTACCGGGCCAGAGGTGACGAGCAAACGATCCATGCCGATTTTATCAGATGAACGGTTTTTATTTCGAACATTTCATTGGACCGACGTTTAGAGAAGATTTTGCAATGCCGCTGCCCCATTTAAACTCAACGTGTGATTCCAGTTCCGATAGGAAGTGGCTGCTGCGGCATATTGTTGGTAGTTGCTGTAGAACTGCTGTTGCTGCTGATGGTGGACTTGTTGCAAGTGGTCGTCATTGAGATCGCTGGTGATATTGGAAGAATCCTCTTGCAGGTCACTCGGAGTCAGCTGACTCTGTAACAGATTCGCGTGATGCTGATGGTGGTGATGGGCTGCTGCCGCCATTTTGCTATTTAGATAGGCGGCTGCTTTCAATTTTTGATTGTAGAAATTTACTGCTGCTGCTGCCGTGGAACTCGAGCTATGGAGTTGCTGTTGTTGCTGCTGTTGGTTCTGATGTTGGTTGGAAGCGGTGGAAGAGGGTGTTACAGATTCATTCTGGTTTGATTGCATTTGCTGTTGTTGGTGCTGTTGAGGGTTGCCGCTGTTGGTACCTGTTGAAAAGATGCTGCTACTCGTGGTCGACGAAGTGGTGCCCGTCGCACCAACGCACGTGCTGGCACCGTTGGCGCCATTCGTGTTTAAGCCTGAAGCCGTATTACGCAGCAGCATCTGTTCCGCTCGTCCTTAAGCCAAGGGATACTGGTGATGTCACAAGGTAGTCGTGCCGGCTGGTGCGTGATAACCCAAACTTTGGTAATACGACTCTTGACCCAAGGCAGCATGTGAATTTGTCAGCGGACTGAGGGCGTTGTAGCCAGCGTACTGACTCATATCGTACATTTTGATATCGGCTTTTGATTCAGTCGGCAGTAGGCGGTTGATGGAGAATGGATGGCTGGGAGGTGCATAACCGGATGGTTCCTGCTTCAGGTGGTGCATGGACGAATGGTAATCGCTTATCAAGGAGGGGTGGCAACGATTGACCATGCTGGTGATGCTGGACAGCTCTTCCTGTTGCAGTTGATGATGATGCTGGTGATGGGATGGAGCATGCTGGGCTTGCTGTCCCAAGCATGCCAACTCAGCATTGGCATGCAGCATGGCTAAGGCCTCCGCGTCTTTTGAATGTGCTGAGCCCAGGGATCCGCCAAGTCCGCTGTCTTTATGGTGGTGGTGCGACTGATGATGGTCCAATCGACTGTGGTGATGATGATGATGCATGTGATGGGAATCGTCATGATCTTTCTTTCCCGGAGATGTGGCCTCCAAACTACTGTGCGAGGGCGATTTGTGCATTTGGCGAATGGCTTCTTTCTTTTCGTCCTTAAAGCGTTTCTGGCGCCGGAGGTAACAGCCGTTTTCGAACATATTACCCGAGTCGGGATGCAAGGTCCAGAAGGATCCCTTGCCGGGCTTGTCGGGTGTACGTGGGATCTTGACGAAACAGTCGTTGAAGGATAATGAGTGCCTTATGGAGTTCTGCCACCTCTGTTGGTTCTGTCTGTAGAAGGGAAAAAGATCCATAATGAACTGATATATTTCGGACAGTGTTAGCATTCGTGTGGGGTTATTCTGGATGGCCATCGTAATCAGCGAAATATAGGAATATGGTGGCTTTGCATGGGTGTAGCTTCGTCTATACGTTGTCGGTTTTTCTACGCGCGATCTGTTCAGTGAATTGGGGGAGCCTGTATCCAAATCACGGGCACTGGCGGCGGCAGCCATTGACGAATATCCACCCATTGCAGCCATTGTGGACATTCCCCCGCCCATGCAGTTGCCCATTTGGCCTAGGGGAGATCCCATCGAGGCATAACTCATACTACTCGGCGTCATACAATTCTGTGCCATAGAATTCATGGCCGCTGCTGCGCCCATTGATCCTCCCATACTGGCTACAGCGGCGGCTGAATCTAAGACACTGGAACCGAAAGTGGCTGCCGTTTGGGGCGATACCGACGACATACCACCCCCAACGGGCATGCTCATGGCATTCATGCTGTAGGGGGCCCGGGCTAATGGACTCATGTTGCCCCCATTGTTATTGTTGCCGATATTGTTGTTGTTGTTGGGGTTCTGAGAGTTTGGGTTACCCTGATTGCCGCCGCCGCCAACTCCCCCACCACCGCCGGCATTGTTCCCTCCACCACCCGCCGAACCGCCGGACTGACTGGTCATGCTGATGGGACCGCTAGTCGGCGCCTCCGAGTAGAGTTTCTGCATGATGTCTATGGTAGTTTGGTGGGGCGAACCCTTAAGGAAACTGTTCAATAGTTGCGCCGTTATGATGCCGATTTATCCCAGTGCCGTTCTACCGCAGAATAATGTGGGACCGAAACAAATGCGAACAAATGATCCGACCAAAACGTTCACAATTTAAATAATAAAATCTTTTCTTTTTTTTTTTTAAATTGTAAATGACGAGCGCGAAAGCTGTGACCTTTTCAACATTTCTTTATTGATTATCAAAATTTCCTTTCTGTTTCGAATGTTGTTTGATTCTCTTCGGTGTTGGCTTTTCTGTTTTATTCTTTTTTTTCTTTCTTTCTTTTTTTCAATTCTATTTCACTTCACTGCACTGTGAGCTATTGTCAGTAGTTTTGTTTTGTTTTGATACGATTCAATTCTATTTAATGTTTTTGCTGTTGCTATTGCTGCTGCTCCTCGTGTTGCTGTTGTTTATTTGTTTAAATATTCAGATAGACTGATTTGTGTACTTCTATATTTGTATATATAGTAAATTAACTTAAAACACTTCTGATCCGGGCGACGGTTGGTGTGGTTTAGTTTGTTGTTTCTTGTTTCAATAAATAACACCCGTTGTGTGTCTTTGCTTTGTGTTGTTTTTTATGCGATTATTATTATTAAATACAAATTCTACAATGCGCTCGAGTACTCTTTGGATTGAGCTCTTGAATTCGACTGTTTGCAGAGGGGTATGCCGTCTTACTATTTGGCTTGCTAACAAATATTGTTCAGGCCGTGTTCAAGTGTAGTTCGCCGCGCGTTGGTTATGAGATGTTCGAGACGTGTGTGAAACAGTGCGGCCAGTCAGCCCAGCTCGCTCACAGTTTGCTGGCTGAACGATGGCAAACCTTACTGGCAGGTAGGTGCAAACACAAGCGCACTCACTCACTCTCGCACATTTGGCCGGTTTCCGAGGGTTTATGGAACATCCACCACCACCGCTGACACCATCATTTGTCAGATTGTCTGCGACGACATTGTTGTTGTTGAACTGGTTCTTCCAATAACAGAGCGCTCTGCAAACAAACCATTTATTTGACGAGAATATTGGTGGATGAAAACCCAATATGGATGTCGACAGGAAAGAGACAACTATACGATATGACAACATGTCGAGAGAGAGAGAGAGAGAGAGAGGGAGAGAGAAAGAACTCAACAGCACAATACAATCAACGTCTAACGCATCTCTCTCAAATTCCATATGGCCTTATCTGTCGTGCTCTCTATTTGGGGCGGAGCTACGACGGAAGCGGTAACGCCTTCCCGAATTCTCGTTTTGAAACGGACCCAGGATGTTCTGTAACGATTTACAAGTATTCTGGCAGGGAGAGTGGGACGTTTAAAGCAATTTTAAACATTTAATGTAGCTATCTACTGTAAAATGCTGAACTTTAACCCCGATTCGAGAAAAGGTTTAAATAATTTTAAGCATCGTCTCTTTTGCCATCACAAAACCCTGCACGAAAAACCCAGCTGCTCTATGTTTCGATTCTTACTATTTTTCCTTTTTGAATCAACTTAACCCAAAAAATGCACACCAACTCCCTGCTACCAATACCACAACCCTCAAGTTCTTTGCTGCCACTGCAAATTGTGTTTGCTCAGAGAATGTGACAGCAAAAGTACGGCAAAAACAAAACATTGCTGTTCGGCGCAATTGTCACAAAGAACTGCCATTCTTATGTCCGTGGTCATCAGTAAACCGTCGACATATTCCACGTAAATCATCCCAAAGAAGCGCTGTCTTACGACCGAAGGGTATATTATTTATATCAGCCCCACCCCCCATCCCTCGTCAATGTGGTGTCCTTCTCCTCATCGAAGACGAAGAAAGTGCCCCAGACCAAATATCTTTGGTTTACACACTCCATGTTCATGGCTGAGGTTAAGGTGCCACAAACCCCAATTCGGGATGGTTGCAGACACCGACATCGACGATGGCGTGGCGATGACGATGACGTGACGACGCTAGCAAAAACATTCACAGTAAACGTCATTAGCGTCAGCCAGAACTTTTTGGTGGCAAATATAAAATTGTTAATGGCAAATGTCAAACACTCGTCAAATCGCTTTCACGCCACGCGACAGAACATTACAGATGTAACGAATAACGTCAATAGTACAATCAGTTAAAATGTTATTATTACCACAATCGATAAGGCCTCCGCGTAAAAATAATCACTAAAAAGTCCGGTAAACTCGACAAAAGCTGCAATTCATTGAAACATAGCAACATATAGCATAGCCCGTTGGAAGCATGTATTGTTCCCGGAATTCCCCCAAGATCGCACAGACACAGGCCATTCGGTTTGCCAAATTAGGATTAAACGGATTTTAATGATCGCTCGAATTGTTGTGCTCTCCGAACACCAAGTGCCATCATAAATGATTTAACGCCTTGGCAATAATTAGACCAATTCTCCGCGAACTAAATTTCCGATGGTCCGGTTCCATTAATGCTGAAAAGTTCTATCATGTTCGGCAATACTGGAGAACAGTAAATGCAGGCCGTTTTGAATGAATTTCATAACGCCTACCTGCCGCTGGTTGTTGTGTGTTAAATGTACGCGTCTACGGGTGTAGGACTAACTAAGGGTTTCCCTCATTAATGAGCCGCATTTTTACAACATTTCCCGGAATAATTTCATTCAATTATGGTGTCGTGACGAGTACCTGGTTAAAGATTTCGGTGGTGAAATGAATGAATAATTTAACGGAAGTTATTAACTAAAGTTAATCCAACTAACTAACCAAAATATCGGACAGGCAGAATCCAGATCCCGAGATGTGATAAAGCATTACAGTCGAATCTTTGCCGGGGTATATTTACCGGTGTAGTAGGAATTACAAAACTGTCTAGACTGCAACGAATTACATAATAGTTGAAATCGACGAATAATTCCAAACGTGGAAATATAATTGATTAATAAATCAAGGCCTGGTTCGGGGAACGTATCGGAATAATTCTGTCTGTATGGCTATTTTTACCGCTTATCATTTTTGCATCCGTTAGATTCGTCTCAACACAAATTTTACGAATGTAAATATTGAGTATTCATTAAAAACGCTGCTGTGAAAGAAGGTAAAGGTAGTGCGGAGAAATGTTGGCCATTCTGTTAATTTTTTTGTATTTGCACAGTATTGAAGAAAAGTTAGCAACTTTAATATCATGGACAAATGCAGGCGGACTTTAAATAAAGACATCACGAACATTGTGGATCACTTCTTGAAGATGAAATAATCAAATAAAATCGGAAACATCATAGGTATTCGGAAAAATTTAAACTAAAATTCCAAAAAAGATATCTCTGGATATTCTTCTACGAGGCTTCGTTAAAGGAGATCAAATACGATAAATATTGTATATTACTGAAGACCACTAGAATAGGGCGGAATTCAATCATCCCCGTTTCCCAAATATCCCTACTGAACAAACCAACGCACACGTTTTTACGCGCCAAAATAACTCTGAAGGAGGCAGGACAGGAACATTCGTTTTGGTTTTTTGAATAAGTCCATTTTATGCACTGGTTCAACTTGAAAAAGCCAAGATTTAAAAATTCTTACACAGTTCTTTCTTTGATTATTGCGCTCTGAATCCTTAAGGATTATTTAAGAGTCAAAAATATATGTTCATATTGAATTCCTTCTTTTTTTAAACGAGACAAGTCAATGTTTTTGGACACATAATAATAAAATAAAGAATAATGTCTTGAAGGGATAAAAGACCGGCTTTAGGTTCAATTTATATAAACAAGTTGCGTTCTATAAGCACAAGATAATTCTAACGTATATCTAAATCGACTCGGGATTGTTCAGAACAAATTATAAGGTATCAGTCGGCTTTGCCGAAATATTTTTACCCTCCGCCAGTGTCCGTTATTTAAAATAAATTTTGACTTTCGTTATGATTATTAAAATGTTCATCCCTTATTGGGATGGTACTACTGTAGGAGTGTGCCAATATTTTCCATTTCGAATCGGGCCTAAGTCAGATATAAATATTACAACGTCCCAAATTTGTACTATACCGACTATTTCCTTTATATGCATTTTCGTAAAATGTTGAAATAGTCCTGCAGTTCCAGATATAGTCAACCGATGTATTAATTTCCTCTAATAGTTATATAATAGTGATATAAATTTTAAAGAACATCGAACAATTATTTCCAATTTTATGCGAATATTTGTTAATCAAATGTTGACATTTTCTGGGGAAGGAACAGATAGAGTGGCCGATATATTCCATATTCACTTTAGATCTCTTATTGAGGAAAACATGAGAAAAATAAATATTACAAATTTTTGACCCTTTGGGAAGGAGGTACCAGAAAGGGTGTATCGATTTGCGTCATCCATTAGTGAAAATATTAGGTATGTGAACTTTAAAGAGAATTTACTAGAAATACTACAATCCTCACAACAGATCATGTGTTAATATAAATCTTGAGATGTGTGAAATTTTATCGGAATGAGAAGAATGAACCGGATCCTTTTTCACATTTTATGAGTGTTTCGGTTTTTCAAAATGTTAACCATTTGTAGGGGAGGTATCAGAAGGAGTGGCCCAATATATCCCATCTTCGAATCAAATCTTGTATTTATAAAAATATTGAGGCGCGTAAAATTTGATAACATTCGGATGCTTATTTCGCTTTATGGGAGGTATAAATATATTGGGGAAGGTACCTGAGGTACCTTGTGGGGGAGGTACCTGAAGGAGTGTACCGATATATTTCGCCTTTTCATCAGATCTTGTGTGGATAGAAATATTGAGATATACCGAGTTTGAAAGGTATCGGGTGCTAATCTACAAGCTTCATGGCTATTCCAAATTCTGACCCGTTGTGGGGGAGGTACTATAGAAGTGGAGCGCAATAACCCATCTTCACATCAGATCTTGTGTCAGAAAACATAATGTATTGGGATTTGAAGCAATCGGACTGTAATTTCATATTTTTTAAGAGTTATAATTATTACGAATTGTTGCCCTTTGTGGGGGTACTTGATGGAGTGGGCCGATATTGTTAATTTTTGAGCCTATCTTTTTTAAGGTAAATTATTTTCTTTGAAAAATTCAATTTTTTGTGGAGGAGGGATTGGAAGGAGTGGACCGATGTTTTTCATCACCGAACTCGATCTAAGTTTGATAATGATACTATCGTGCGCACCAACCAGACAGGCAAACGGACATCGCTAGATCGAATCCAAATGTCCTGAACAGGATTTGGTCCAAAGAAACCTAGGGTGGAAACCCATTAGAGAAACATACCCATTCTAGTCTTAAATTTCCATAAACTCAAAATATCGGTTTTAAAAAACATTTTCAATTTTAAATGCGTAATATACTGAGTCTGAGTGAGATACACTTAGTACCCAATTTATTATATCCATATATACTTTCGTCAGGGCAATAGGATCCTACCGAACAGACTTCCTCCTCTCAAGACATAGATTATATGTAAATATTCCACAAAATGTTAAGGAAAACAACACTGATGCCAAGGTGAATGTATTACTTGCATCATTTCACAAATTATTCAGGGGGCAGAGACGTGGTCCGAAATAGAAATAAAATAACTTAACCACTGTGCTTTACCATAGCTTCAATGTGGAATAATACTATCGATCGAACGTCTAGATCAACAACAAACACACACAGACGCCCTAACAAGAATAAATAATTTATTAATAATAATTAAATGATCACTAATGGCTGCCGCTAATTGGTTGTACTGCTGTCGTTCTGCAGCTCCATCTTCTGCTGCTCAGAGGCTCCAATCGCTTGTTTCTGTTTTTATTTATGTGAACATATAAAGCAAATAAATCGAAGTGTTGAACAACCAAAAAATCAAAAACGCAAACAAATGTCGTAAAACAAAGCTACGGAATATTTATGACGCCGTGATCGCAACAGCCCTCAGTTGTAGATGATGAATGTTTGTTTTATTTTAAATTGGGTAAAATTTCCAAAGTCACACAAGCCACAATCCAACACAAATTTGATGTATTTGACTTGCTATGCAGGGAGTGTAAATTGAAAATGTTCGAATACTACCAATTTCGATTTAATTGCAATAAACGAAGAAATATTCACGGCGCTAAGTTAATCAGCCGGAACAGTCAATGTTTTAAAAGAATTGACGCGCTATTCGGACCGCCCTCGCAGAAAATTATTGCTTGAAACTATTAAGTATTTTAGTAACGATAAGCGACTACTCCCTATTAATGTCAAACAGAGATGTTCAACATTATACGAATGGAGAGGATGGTTATTGGCAGGAAAACAAGTAACTTTCGAATTTATTTTTTCTTTTGTTTCCCACACTTCTTTAATATATATATCATTATATTCAATTTGCTATTACTGCCGCCGAGTATTTGCATAATTATAAATATACCTAACACATCATTTGTTCCGTTTGTAGTAAATTATGTACCTTGTTTGATAGTACAACAACAATCTCCATTTGAAATTCAGATAATTTCTTTGAAATTCATATATTGTGTTTCAGTATATGTATAAAGTTCACAAAATATAATTTGTAATTCAGACATTACATTTGAAATTCGGAAATTTTATTTGATACTCATAATTTCTCAATTGAAATTCAGAATTCCTATTTGGAATTGGGAATCTTTTCTTTTTTTATCAAATTCAGAATATTACATTTCTAACGATTTGGACAAACCTTACAACTCAAAGCTTTGCGCCATTTGTGTCTAAAAGACACATAGACCCTTGATTTTTTATATCCATCTACCACTCACAGTGCTCTAATGTTTGTATACCCTCTACATTTAGTAACTCTTTTTTTACCTTTTTTGATGTGGATGATGCCTTACAAGGGTCGTTCTCTGGAAGTAGTATTTATTTCGAACTTATTGTGATTAAGCATATGCGAATTAAACACCAGAACCCCTCCAAGTTCGATTAATGTTCCATCAGCAAATCTTTTTCACAGAAAATTTTTGATGGAGTTTTTGTGCACAACAACTACATTGCTTCCAATGCATACATTTGCAATGAAATAGTCGATATAGGTTCTGTATAACGGAACCTTCATTCGGTCCAGGCGAACTTAAAAAATGTTTACCTTTTTTTAAGAAAAAAAAAAAACTATTTATTAAAATAGAGAAACCTTGAAATAATAAAAACTTTACTATCAGATGTAACGACTGAAAGAAGAGTTAAAAAAGAATTTTATTCACCATGTTTCATCATAAATTCGGTCGGGCGCAGTGAAATTGACCTTTCAAAACCCCAATTAAACTATAACTTGGTAAGGACAACGATTTTAAATTAAAAAAATGCCCTATTTTAACTTAAGAATACTGCGAAGAAAAAAGGCGTTTGAAATGTCTTATGAATAGGACACAGTGTACATGTTAGAATTGGTAAATAAAATTGTTCCTGATAACTACAGAAAAAACAAGGCTGTTGCGACATCTATCATACATACGAATTGTCCGCTTGGAGTCTTTTGTTTTTATTTTTTATATTTGCGGTCAAGAGACAAATACCAAGAAATGCTATTGGACTTTAAAGACAACTGTGAATGTAGGCATTATTACAAAAAATGGCTGAGAATATTCGCCAGACCATTGTTTTTTCCTTCAAATCCTGTACGTACAGTGATTCAAATTATTTAAAGAGTATTGTTTGTCTTTTTATGTAAATGCTGAGATCTGCCCTACAAAGTGTTCGAATGTTAAGAAATCACAGACAAAAATATTTACTTTAATTTGTGAATTTGAAATGCGGGCGGAGGAGTGGCGGTGTCTGCAGTCGTGTTGGAGACATTTTCCTATAAATCGATAAATGCCATCGACTAGTTAGAAGTGCGCAGATGCCAGACAGAGTGTTGCTGGTAAGTGGTGGCAAGTGTAGAGAGCTCGTGTATTTGTAACCCATAAAAAAATCTTCAGCATTGAAATGCCAACAAATTCATCTATTACAATTGAAAGAAAACTTAAAAACATAGCCATGAAATTGAGCTAAGGATATGTTTATGATTGAAAATAAATGAAAGTGTCTAAGAATGTTCCACTCCCGTCGCTTTTTGATTGGGAAAATTCTACAAGAAGCCATCGGGCCTTTAAGTTGAAAATAAAATACGCAATGCAACCAAAATTTGTGATGCTATTTTATAGTTAATTGATTTATCTGTCCAATTGTATGGCCCATCTCATATATATATATATCTTGATCCGATTTCACACTATTCTGCCCCAATTCGTGTTTGGCATATGCCGCTTAATTCCCCCAAAAATTAAGTCAAACATGGACATATAGTCACATCGACTCAGTTCGATCAGATTTGATGGTAAAATATAGTTAATGTATTAAAAAAACAGATGTGAAATAGTTAGAAGTTTACAATCTATTCATATCGGTAACATTTTGTAAAAATTATTGGGTTGTAACAAACACACACACCTACGAAGTCTTTTAAGATATACCCTCATAATTTCTTAATCGCGCGTCCTGTACATGTTTCTCAAAGTTGATCTTCGATATCACGTCTAAGATCCAAAAATCAGGTAAAAATATTCTCTTAATTCTCCATATGCAAGCAATTTTCCAATGCGGACATGACGGTAGCATTCAGGCTCCTCCTAGTATAGGTGAGTAACTATGCAAGTATGTATACGTGTGTGCACTAAATAAATAAATAAATAAAAATGTACTTTTCTAATAGACTTATCGTTAAATTGTTTTTAAGACAGCTCAAGTGGATCATTGATTTTTGTTAGCTTTTTATATTCTTTCAAAGTGTGGCAAAATTGATCGGCGTCTTCGTCAAACGGAGTGTAAGACTGCGGGGATGACACTGATTTCGATGTAAACCTTCTGGGAGTTCACAGTTAAAAGAGAAGAACAAAGCCAAACTCTACAGAGAATAACCAAAAACTGAAAACAAGCGATTTCCGTAAACGTTGTCATTCCAGACTTTATTTCAGGAATAGTTCCGCCGAAATCTTTAATTAAGTCTTAGTCTTAAAAATGCTATCTGTGTCATTTAAAGCGGCTATGTAAAAACATGCATGTTATTGGCGATTTCGGGTACTTAAATACCATGTTTCGAGGCGAACAACAATGTGTTTGTGTTAAACGAATTGAGGTGTGTTTTTGTTGTTGTTTTGAATCGCCATTTTCTTATTTGTTGATTTAATAATTATCTCTTAGTAAAATTACAGATATTTGCCACATCCCGCTTTGATAATATGCATCCTAAGATAATAAAACATTCCACTTGACTCCGTTGCCGGTGTCCTGGTGAGGAGGAAAACAGAAACCGAGATAAGATACTGAACTGCCACAAACAGAGATAAGTTTTTATATCGGGAGGATTATTGTAAATATCTCGGCATATTGTAGGAGAATCAACGGTCATAACCTCTACGAGTCCGCAGACAGGTACCCAACAGAAACAACAACATAGTCGACTGTTGATGAGCCGTAAAGTTGTCAACTTACAGCAGATAACAGTGACACAGATGTATTCATTGCGAGCTGATGGGCCATAAACACAATCTGATAACCACAGAGTGACGATGATTACGACGACATGAAAGATTATTCCTAAGATGATGAATGTCCCGCTCAGAATATAAAAATAAAATGCATTATTAATTTGCGACTGACAAAATGATGTTGAAGAGAGCTTTTATTGGGACTTTATGACAGCAAACGATAGTGGGAGGTGAGTCAGTAGTTGCAGGTAAGTATACATCAGGCCCACAATTGGCAAATTACAATGGAAATCAATTGAAATGTCGTTACACGAATAATTGGATTTGTTTGCAGAACAAAACAAGTTCTACAATTTGGTAAAAAAAATAGTTGTCGACTCCAAATCGAAATAATTCCACAATACTTTTAATGGTGTGGAAGATTTTACAAGAGAATTTCTAAGTTATTTTTTAAGAAGCATATTTTTTTAATATTTTCTTATCCACGCAGTGATTCTTTGATGCCTTACTAATATATTCTTCGTAGACTTCAAATTCTGTAGTTATATTTAGAAACGGATATAGCTCCGAGAAATTCTCAGTATAAATTAGTCAACGCAATTTTTTTCATTTCACATCTGAACTGAAATATACATCGTACAACATATATTTTCATCCAAAAATAAGTAAATAAAATTCGGTCCGAAGATCGAATAGTAATAAAAATAAAGAAGTAGGACTAGGCGTACCATACGATGCTGCGACGTCGCTTCCAACGAACATACGTGACTATGAAAACCTTTTTGAGAGTTTTGTCCCTTTTGATGTAGGACATAGTTTAAAAAAAGGAGAACTATGCTCGGCAGTAGCGATTGTCCGTAACGCCCGAAGGAAGTCAAGTCCGTTTCAATACTTTTTATTTATTATTATTTTAGGTGTGAATTTGGTTGTGTGTGTCTGTTGGAGCAGTTTTACGCATTTAATGAACAGTAAAGGGGAAATCGTGCAAAGGTATATATTGGAGCTACAGAGTTGCCCATATTCGACGGACCTTTGGGCCCATTCCAATCGACGAGGCAACATTCTTTGCGTCAATTGAATTTTGTACGGGAACAAATGCAAATCAATGCGAATAAAGTGGACGTTGTAAAGTGGACCGAGCCATGCCCAACTGCTGAGAACGGCGTTTTTGGGATGTTCTTGGGGACCTCTCAACACTGGCTCGTACGGCAGCGAAATTCTCGGCCGATCGCCTTGGTCGACTTTTATATGGCCTCTTCGGATTAGAAAGAGCTTTACCAGTCGAAAATTTTTCGTATAAACGCTTAATGGTGTTCTTAGAAGGCGCACTTCTCACCTTTTTTTTTACAATTGACTTCTTCTGTTGAATGTAAATTTCAACTACTTCAGAGTGCTCGCGTGGCGTGTATTGGTTCATGGTAAAAATCTGCTTGGACTGACGCTTCAAACGCGGTATGTCATTAAGCGATGTGACATCTTTGTCAAAAGTTATGGCGTTGCCAGATGGGTCCGTCGAATATGGGCAACCCTGTATATCCCAAGTGGAACTGATTGCCACCGATTTCATAATAATAAATGCGATCTGTACTTTGATTAAAAAAACACATGAAAAAACGCTCAGACATGCATAAATCGACTCGACTTTTGCATGTTTCACAGTGTGGCGCTGGGTATAAATAGCGCATCGCTCACTAAGATCGCATGTCATATGTGAACATCTATAAAGTATTTTACGGGGTTCAAGCATTAAACTGCAGCGGATGCCACATCTTGGTCGGCAAATGGAATTTCGCTAAACATATATCGTTTGAAAGGGATTGGCAAATCGGATGGCAATACCAATTATCCTTCTGGAGGGTAAAAAATTACAAAACTTTTGAAATATCTACATAAAGTATCATTCATCTGTTTCATTCAAATTTTAAATGCAATATTTCGCCTTTCAAATAGAATAATTAAAATTAAAATGGAGCAAATCGAAACGAAATAGTTCAAATTTTAAATTACAAAAATCGAAATTGAAATGGAGTAAACTAGAATTACTTCACTTGCAATTAAAATGTATTCAAAGTATTCCATTTGTCCATCCGAAATTTGAAGCAAAAAATACGAAAAATTTTATTTCGCATTTGCTTTTTCATATGCAAATAAAATGGCTCGATTTTTAAATGGAATAATTGGAATTACTAATGGAATATTTTGAATATCAAGTGACAAGTTTTTATGCACAAATCCAAAAACTGCAACTTTAAATCGAAAAATTAGATTAAAGACGGATTTAATTCGAATTTTAGATGGAATTTTACGAATAAAAAAATAAATTGTCGCATTATAATTGACATGTTTCTCAATTACAATGAGAATCCTTGATTAATAAATAAAATGCTAGAATACAATTAAAATTAAAATGTTTCGAAACTTATGCTCGGGTACGTTCGGAATTTTTGGATTCATGTCCGGGCGCAATAGTGCACATTCTACATTATCGGCAAATGTAAGTTAAACATGGAAGACATATCGGAACCGGCACATGTGCAGATGAAGTGGTCTTGATTGCCTCTCCAATATTAATTTTTTTCTTTGAGAATGAAAGTCCGTTTGCGGCAAAAAAAAAAAAAAAAAAAAAAAAACAATGCTATCGATGTAGCAAAAACTTTGCCGCCACAAAATTTCCATGATTACCGATCTTCAACAAAATTTACCTGTACAATGGCCAGGCACCAAGTACTCTTGGCTCTTATTAGCGAACGCTGGAAAACAAACGGACGGCGGTGTGTTAATACGACTTTTATGAAACGGAAATGAAACACCTAAGCAAACATCTTTCCAAAAAGAATAGAAGAATGAAAATACATACACATATAGCACAGAGCCAAAGCAAACAGAAAACTAAGTAACATTCCCGCACGAGAATGTTCGTAGTCGATAAACAAATAAAGCAACCACACTAGATAAGAACCGAGAAATAGGTACCTCATTTTAATAAGCGAGTATAAGCCACATAGCATATATCTACGTGTGTACGTATGTACAATTGTCTGGGTTGCTGGCTTGACATCCATCCGAACGCAAAGCATAGCAGTATCTTATTCACAAGCGACTACAATTGCTGTGCATCCACAGCTAATTAATGTCATAGGAGTGGAGATGGAAGAAGAATGTTTGAATGTTTGCATGTACACATGTGTATGTTTCTACAGACGGCATATAATTGCGGCCCCTAAGAATTAGGCCGTTTATGTTGCTTGCGTATAGTTATGGATGTAAATAATGTAAATGTACATGCATATGTATAATACAGCGCACGCACACACACAGACGTACAATCAGTGTGTATAAAATTACCGCCGAAGGTCTTGGAATCGATTCCGAATTGTATTCAATTTCATCTTAAATTTAAGTACATGCGTTGTCCATTTCAGATCTTCCTACGTCAGCTTGTTGTTATACATATATATACCAATGTATACATACATACTACCATCTATCTATATATAAAAAAAAGAATTGAAGTGTTAATCAATTCCGAAAAAATAACATTATTGTTGTTGTTTTTAATTGATTGTCTTTTTTGAGTAAACTCAGCATTGCTTCGTGTAGAGACGAGCGTCTTTATGATTTTCTTTTTTTTTTTTTTGGTATCATTTAACACGTCGCCGCATCTTCGACTATGCTTCCATCCCTTCTCCTCTGGCACTGCACTTCCCTTACAATTTGTTCCAATTATTTTATGATTATTGCTGCAATTGCTCTGGTTTTCCATTGTTTGCCGTCAATAAAGAGTGCTTGTGTGAGCACACTGCCCCGTAATTGTTGTTTTTCTGTGTTACACCGCGAAAAACGAAAACGAGAACGAAAATCATTAATGCTGGTGAAATTTTTGTTTGCACACGCGCACTGTGGTGTTGGACAAAGGACGATTTTATTGCCTCGTCAAAGGAAGACAATGGACGCAGCAGTTTCATTGTTTTCACAGAACTAATTATGTGAAGGAGTGGGAAAAAGCAGGCCATTAAACGGAAAATTATGTAGATGTTGGATTAACGGTGCCGACGTCGTCTCCATTATGATGGCCGTTTTCGTTAACAAACAAGACATGCCGACATATGTATGAGCATGCATACGACCATAGGGAAAACATATACCGCATTGGTGGTCGACCGCCAATAATTAGAAACGCACTACTCTGAAGGACATGTACTCCTTGCCGAAGACATTAGATTTCCATACAGCATGTGTCACATGGTCTGTGTCCAATCAGAATGACTTAATGTAATATTTAATCGAAGTATGCATTCGACCCAGTATTTGTTATTTAGCATTTTTATTACTTCTTCTTTGTCTAATTCAAAATAATATCTAACTTTTGCCCGTATTACTCAAACGTCTGTAAGGATCTCGCAACGATAGTGGTTTTAAAACTTGCAGATTTAAATATGAATACACCTTATTTTCAATACCAACCATCCTAGATACAATATAAACTATTGTGCACAGCTTTATGCCAAATAATACAATTTCAGCAGATAGAATAACTTAGAATTGTATGCTATTCATGAATTAATTTACTTCATGGGGTCTACGAAATGACAAATTTAATATACCCTCCTTTCCATGGAGGAGGGTATAAAATCGGTGAATATACATTGACAACAGAAAAACAAATTATTGAAATTCCATTTTTGTCGTACTTTGTACTTCAATACGCTCCAAAGTGGGGTGAAATTCAAAAAAACGGTGATTAATTTAGGGAAGCATTCTGCCGCTTTGAAATTCTCTCCCCGCAAAATCTTGTGAAGCTAACTACACTATTATATATAGATCCTATATAATTGCACTTCTTAATTTTAGACATTTTGAGGGTTTCAGCCAGAGTTTTTTACAAACTTAGTCAAAATTGAAGGTGATGAGAGATTGGATCATCTTTATATAGTTTGGATTTCCAATTAAAAATAGTACAAAAAACCAAGAGAAACTTATTAAAAAAAAAAAAAAAAAAAAAAAAACAGACAACTAGATCTAAGCACATTTACTGTAAAATCAGTTGACAATCTTCGTCATTTTTTAAATTAAACAAAAACGGTACGAGTTTTTACAAAATTAACAAATTTTGGACCTTCTGTATAACACTTTTTGAACTCTAAATACTTTTCATCACTTTTTATTTTTTTTTATTCTA